TTTTTTACATTTTTCACTAATGTTTGAAAATTATATTTTTTATTTTTCATGGATATTTTAGAATTTAATTTTTTGCTATAAAAAGGAAAGTATACGTTTCGTATAATAATATATTTTTAAATATAATTTTTACTAATTATATTTATAATAAGTAAAAATAAATTACGAAAACAAAGATTTATTTTGATTACATGCAATATATGTAATATTATCTTACGTGCAAAAATTCTGTCTATAAATATTTCAAAAAATATGTCAACAATATTCTAAATTTCTACTTTTGATAACAGTTTTCTATAATTAATTTATGTTCATTATAATATTACCATCTTTGTGTAATTAGCTTAAGAATTCCCCGAGTCAGCGCGAAATTTCGTAAGATAAATTGCGCGAAATTCCTCCCAATAATCCATAGCGAGTGAACTCTTCGATGTTAAAGACTATCTCAATCCAAGACGAGATAAGAAAGATCATCCGAACAAAATTAAACTACCTCATCATCATTAGGACCTAATTACTAGAAGGTCTTGGACGCGGATGACATCGCTGACGAGCGGTCGAAGCAAGACGCTAACTACGTTCACGCACGCGCTCATCTTCGTCTCCACAGATACGCTTTCTGAGAAGCCTGGTGTCGGTATCAGCATCTTCAAGTAAGCTAGTTGGTCTAGGCGAAAGCTTATTAATGGGTGCCTGCTAGGTGGGACGGGGGAGGTTTTCGTAGAACGACGATGAGGAAGAACGGGTTGTGAGTCGACGGAGGTGGATGCTGGCTGGATAGCTCGAGATAGAGGGTAGAAAAAAGTAACAGACTCCCCGCAAATAACCCCCACGATGTTCGCGGTAGGCGTGTCCTGGACACGGGGTGATGGCAGAATCCGGCCAACCAGGATTCGGCGACGACGTGCGCCCCGGCCTTCTCTCGTCGAATGAAAAAATATTGACCGTACGAGGGGGTATCCTGCGGTCCATTTGGGGGTTGCGGAGGTGAAACATAACGGTCGACTGATTGTTAGGGATGGCGGGCGGGCAAGGAGGGTTACGAGGCGGCGGGTGAATACCCTCCTCGTCACGTACGGGATCATTAGCTGGATATCCTTGGTCCCGTTGGCCAACCCTATCCGATAGCGGTGATCCTCGTGCTTGACATCATTATCCTTGGATGCTGCAGAGCGCCAACGCGGTCCGATCATACTTCGTCGAAGGCGCCTTCGTAGTTCGGTCTTCCGATACTGCTACTGTCTCTTCTCGTGCTTTTGCCACTTCCTTGCTTTTATTTCCGTTTCGTTCGTACTTATTCATCAATTTATTCACCATTTGACAATCTGAGCAAGTTACAGTTATTCAATGAATCTGCAAAAATTGTGACAGTGCACGAATTTGTTGTTTATGATGGGATAATAATTAATCGATAATAAACATTGCTGTGATAATAATCTCATGACTTTCGATTTTGACATTGTGTGTTTTAAAGAGTTGTGAATGACAAGTTAATGTGACTAAAAAATGATACAATTTGTTTAATATAAAAAATACGTGATAAATTAGTATTTCTAATTATAACTTTGAGTGAACAATTGATGACAATGGTGAAGAAAAAAAACTAATCAAATATATTTAGTCGATTGGCATTTCTGCAGAAAGAATTTGTGATAAATGTTTATGCAAATAATATAACATTTTTAAAAAACTCAAATTTTTTTTGTGTGATTCGTTATCGAATTTGATTGTATTCTTTGAAGTCAAATTAATATCTGTGTTATGTAACGAAAAATATTAATAAACGTTTAATGCTAACCGTGGCTATATGATTGGAACATATTATCCATATCAAGAAAGTATTGAAGTAAAATAACAATTTCAAAAACATTTCAAAATGGAGACAAGTGATCCGTCGGGTAGACTAACGGCGGAAGACTTATCGGATTGCATAAGTGATAGCAGCCATTCGGAGTCTCAATTAAGAGCTTTTCAAAGTTATGAGCGCATCAAAGAGCTGAATCTGTCTATTGATAAAACCAAAGAAGATGCATCGACGGAACCGAAAGATTTTCATCTTAGTCTGGAAGGTGGCGATAGGACATCTCTCCGATTCAATGAATTTTCATGTGAAAATCCGACCAGAAATTTGACTATGACGTTGAATAAAACCAAAGATTTCGGTTACTCCGCCAATAATTTGACTGAAATTAATTATCCGTTGGAGAGATTGAACGAGAATGAGGAATCAACTGACGCCTCAACGCTTTGCAGACCAAAAAATTCCAGCGCTAAAAACGTGCTATTTAATTTGCGCGAGACGAAACAAAGGAGTCCTCATGCGTCGTTATCTTCTTTAGATAGGTATAGCAAGGATCTTAACTTCGTGGTAGAAAAGGAAATAAAGGACTTCGGCCTGCTCAAGAATTATAATCTCGATCGCATGAAAGAGTTCAATTTTTCCCTAGATAGAATGAGGGATACTCATATTAGCAGTTTGGCCCTTGAAAGATTGCGTGGTGGTGCTGGTTTATTAGAAAATTCGAGCATGTTAGATCACAAGGAATTTAGGAACTTGCAAGTACAGCCGAGGAATCCCGATCTTGAAGCAATAGCTTTGGAACGTATGAGACGCTCGCATCTACTTGGTACAGAACTATCCGCGCAAAATTTGTCAACGCAAGTGCCGCATTCGCATTCGATTACGCACATGCAACATTCACAACAACAGCAGCAACAACAAGCAAAGTCCTTCACCATCGACGCTATCTTAGGCTTAAGGAACAATCAGCGAGAAAAACGAAATCAGCAGCAACAATACAGAAAACATCAGGGTATTTATAACATTTTTTCTAATTTATTATATGTGTGTTAATTCTGGTTGTTATTAATTATATCTTTTTTGTTTATACAGCCAAATTAAATAAAAAACGAGAGATACATAGAAATATTATTTAAATTACAATTAATTACTGAATAATTTATTTTTATACAATGTTAAAGCAACATATTTTTAAAATTGTTCAATTAATTTTTATAACGCACATTAAATTCTCATAGGATATTACTTATTTGTCATAATATTTATTAGTTACTGTACAATAAAAATATTCTACGTTATAAAGTAAACAAGTAAAAAAAAAGTATTTTAAATATTTTGAACAAAATTAA